TCGCACCAGTTTTCTTGTCTGCTGTTACAGTATAAACATGGCTGTTCCGCTAGCAGTGTGCTCCGAGGAGGAACAAAGAGTCCCTGTTTATTCAGCGTGATTTGACCGAAGGCAAAAAAGTATACGCGTATAAATAATAATAATAATAATAATAATAATAATACCGTCTCGGTTCAATAAGGGCAGATTCTCTTAGAGAGGAACTAGTCTAGGTCGAAAAATTTGTCACTGAAACACAATATTCCACCAACAATGAGACACCTGGTCATAAACTGGATTAAGTCCAACATTGGAGCTGGTGACTTAATGCCAAATTCTAACCGTGAAGAATATAAATAAGTCAATTTTTTTTTTCACTGCATTCAAAAAACAGAAGAACTGATACGGATCAGAGATACCAAATATGGAGAAATATGGTAGGAACTAAAATAAAAAAAAACTAGTATGAACATCACCCAGACCCGGTTACAGATATAGGACCTGAAACAATTTTAAGGGACTTCATAATACACACACACACAGAACAATCAAATCTAATCGCCCAGACATCGTGATCAAAGACTGCAAAAACAGAATGTGCTTTCTTATTGATATGGCAGTTCCTACAGATTGTAATGTATCTTTAAAGATCTTCGAAAAACTATCAAAATACGTCTGGAGACGAACATACAACTAGAGACCAACATACAGTATTTACTACTGTATTTATATGAATGAGGACATATCCATTGTCGTCCGGATGTATGCTAAAACAGCTTTTGATATCATCCATGTAAGATAGGTGATTAAACACTTTCTTTTTTTACTTTGTATCCATATTACAATGGAAATTTTTAAAAAAGTGGCACACGAGGACATCAATATTTCCGGTTGTAGTTGGAGTCCTCGGTTTGATTGGAAAAGCTTCCGATAGACTCAGTGAAGGGATTCCTGGCAACCCATGCCTTAAAGAAATACAATAACTTATCACGCATTATGAAGGGCTTTATCTATGTAAAATGTGTGTGATCTTAGTGTTATTTCGTTTTTTTGTTATTTGTTTGTTTGTCTTTTCAAAAATGATCAATGGTAAATATCTTAAAGCCATTTCTGACGGAAATGTGTCTACAACAGAAATGAAAGTCAATAATAATAATAATAATAATAATAATAATAATAATAATAATGTGCAGTTAGTCCAAAATGCATATTCTGTGACAAATATCCAGAAACAATTGACCTCTTTTATTTGGTTGCGGGGTATTCGAATTCACCGAATATAAATCACAGCACCACAGAGTGGGCCAATATCTGCAATGGAAAATCTGCGACGCTTACGGCAAGGAAACTGCAAGATATTGGTATGAACACCACCCAGACCCGGTTATAGAGATAGGATCGGTAACAATTCTATGTGATTTTACAATACACACAAAACAATCAAAGCTAATCGGCCTGACATCGTGATTATAGACCGCAAAGACAAAATGTACCTCCTTATTGTCATGGCTGTTCCTGCAGACTGCAATGTATCTTTAAAAAAATATCAAAGTACAAGGACCTTGATATCGAAATCCCAAAATATGGCGCAAGAGGTCATTAACAATTCCAGTTGTAGTCGGATTCCAATAGATTCATTGAAGGAATCCCTGGTAGCCCATGCCTTAAAGAAACACAGAAAAATTGTACTCACAAGTACAGCACACACCTTACGAAGGGCTTTATCTATGTAAAATATGTGTGATTTTTTTTTTCAAAACTGCTCAGTGGAAAATGTCATGATACCATTTCTGATCGTAGGTCTCTGGTCGGGACCGGGAAAGGAATGAGTCTACACCAGGAATCAAAGGAAATAAAAATAATAATGACAGGGTGGGGCAATATCTGCACTGGGAATCTGGAACATTTATGGGAAGAAAATTGGTATGAACACCACCCAAACTCAATTACGGGAATAGGACTCCATGCAGGCAGTAATGTACCTTTGATGACCACCAAAAAACTATCAACATAAAAAGATCTTGAAATGGAAATCTCAAAAATGCAACACATGAAGGCATCAATAATTCCATTTAGTGGCTGGGGTCTGGGTTTAATTTTTTTTTTTCCAAATAAAAATGCTCAGTGGAAAATGTCATGAGGACATTTTTGTTCTTAGGTCTCTGGTTGGGACCCGGAAAGAAATTAGTATACACCAGAAATCAAAGGAAATAAAATGCTACTACTACTACTACTACTACTAGTAATAATAATAATAATAATAATAATAATAATAATGTTAATAATAAAGAACATACCAGAAGTTCCTGAAATTGACCATGGAAAGTACTACTTCACTCTAAGAAGTCCTTGCAGACAGGCAGATTTAATCTCCTTTAAAGATTTTTCTTGTCGTTACTGGTTTTATTTTCTGTGGGTGTAAACTTGATTCCAACTGAATTACTTAATAACTGCTTGCCCTTTGCTGACAGTTCGCTCGAGACGGTACAAATAAATGTGATACTGCATTAAACTCAAAGTCTCAACTAAAATTATGATCAATATATATATATATATATATATGTGTGTGTGTGTGTGTGTGTGTGTGTGTGTGTGTGTTTGTGTGTGTTTTGTTTGTGGAAAGTGTCATGATATAATAATAACTGGATATTTGCACTGGATATAACGATAGAGTAGCGAGAAGCTTGCAAATTTGGCATTATTATTTAAAAATATATATTCAGTTTTAATGCAGTAGGAATAATAAAAACGACTTTAAAGGATCGCAAATGTTTGCTTCTAACCTTTTCCTATTGACCTGGGTTGTTAGCAGACAAAAAGGGAAAATAATCCTTGCATCAATAACGTTAATATTAGTTTCATTCCAAATTGTTAATATGTATGTATGTTTACATTTGCATATATTTTAATGGTGGTACATACCGGGGAATATAAAAAATATTATGCCCAAGCCCCTGACCCCGGTGAAGTTGGTGGGCTTTCCCCCATTTAGTACCTCTCCTTCAGGAGTGGAATGGGTTTATTGGTCGGCGCCTGAGGCGTACTCAAAAGGGGAAGTGCCGAGTGGGCTTTCACCCATTTAGTACCTCTCCTTCAGGAGTGGAATGGGTTTATTGGTCGGCGCCTGAGACGTACTCAAAAGGGGAAGTGCCGAGTGGGCTTTCCCTCATTTAGTATATATAGAGTGGGGAGAAACAAATATTCGTACATATACAAAATTTTAATTTATTGTATTTCCAACTAATGAATAAACATACTTTTCATATAATTAACTTTACACAGAAACCAGAAAAAAGAAAAATTTTGATTTAATAGAAATAAATCCCATTTATCCATTTTAATGGGTGAAAAAAGTATTCGTACAATGAAAATTTCAAAATTTACAAGATTTAAATTGCTTTAATACTCTAGATTATTCAAGTGGAATATTCTAGAATGTTCCAATAATGTTATCAGTAGTTATTTTTAGCATACAAACACTCTGGAACTGGAGATATATGTGTGTTCATGTATTTTAATATATTTTATTGTTATGCGTTATTTATATAGACACAAATATTTATATAGACACAAATATTTATATAGACACAAATATTTAAGTAAACGTTTGTTTATAATAAACAATATTAATGACATTCACAAGCCTGAATGACCCCAACAGGAATCGAACATGTATCCGACACAGAACTGTCTTATAGCTTGACGTGCTATACCAGTTTAGATACAAAGGAGAGTCTGGTTAGCAAAGTTGATTTGACTGCTTTTAAACTGCAATTTCCTATGATTTCCTAATTAATGTGTATTAAAATTATTGTCGGACTTTGTCCATTTCGTAGTTTAGATAAAACACACACACACACACACACACATATATATATATATATATATATATATATATATATATATATATATATATATATATATATATATATATATATATATATATGTGTGTGTGTGTGTGTGTATATATATATGTGTATATATGTGTATGTGTGTATATATGTGTATGTGTATATATATGTGCAGGTAAATATATATGTGCATATATATACATATACATATATATATATATATATATATATATATGTGTGTGTGTGTGTGTGTGTGTGTGTGTGTGCAAATATTTAGAAAAATATGAAAGGAACGTTAGGTAAAACGTTAGGTTCTTTAGTATTTTTGTTTTTATTTTTAAAAAGCAGTGTTCCATATTACATATACATATATATAATGTCATCCACAGACAGACTGTTTCTCAGCTCTTCAGTGTGGCCAGACGTCTTGTTGCCTCGAGATAGAATCGAAACCCGACTGAATTGGCGTCAGTCGTAGATTCTTCCACTAAACCGTCGGCAGGGATAAAGGTGAATTTTAGCGTATTTATTTTAGATAAACACACAGTGACCGACAGTCTTAATTGATTTTTGCCGACGATATATATATATATATATATATATATATATATATATATATATATATATATATATATATATATATATATATATATATATATATATATATAAAAACGGATATTTGATTTAAACTATAGATTATTATTATTATATTGCTGTTTATTTAAATCCAGAAAATATTTTTGCATTGTAAGAATATTTTTTTTTTTTTTTAATGGTAAAAGTCTTAAAAATGAACCCGACTGGAATTGGAGCTCAGCTCTGCAATTAATAATTCCGAGCCATTATCGATTACACCAAACAGACATCCAAGCTTAAATTACGTGGTATTCCCAAGCGGTCTTGTTACTGACCAGGCGCGACGTTGCTTAACTCCGGTGATCAAACCTGAACAGGTGTTACATCATGATATGGCCGTAAGCGATGTTAATCACACATCCAATCTTACAGCACCTGGAGTTCCAAAGCGGTCACCCATCCAGATACTGACCAGGCCCAATGTTACTTAACTTCGGTGTTCGTACCTGAAGCAGTGTTTCAACGTGATATGACCGTATACCATGTCAATCACACAAACAAGCTTACAGCACCTGAAATTCCCAACCGGTCACCCATAGAGATACTGACCAGGCCGGACGTTGCTTAACTTCGGTGAACTTACCTGAACGGGTTTTTCAACGTGATATAGTCGTAAACCATGTCGATCACACATCCAAGTTTACAGCACCTGATATTTCCAAGCGATCACTCATCTAGATACTGACCGGGTTCGACGTTGCTTAACTCGGGTGATCATACAGGAGCCTGTGTTTCAACGTAATATTGCCGCAAGCGGCAAAAAGACTAAAGAATCTCTTCATTCCCTTAAACGGCTGACATGACACACGCAACGAACGTCGACAGACCCAGGTGCTTTTAAACACAGGCGGACATTTATTGACGCATGCGTACAGAAACGATTATTCTTTCTTCTGTCTTTTGCCGCCATCTGCCACCACCCTGGTAGACATTTTTTTTTTCATTTAAATACTTCAGTTTTCAACAATTGTCCTATTCAGAGAACAAGTTGCATTCATCACAGCCATTTTAAAAATCGACTCTTTATCTAGCATTCTATTCTCTTGCCTTGTGAGCTTCGATCTTCTACAGTTTTCCAGCCGACCAATCTTTTTAGTCGAATCAAAGATAACGTTTGAAAGAGTCGTTAAGCATACCCACTCACAGACCTCTTTCTGCTTCCTCTTAATCTTTCCTCCTCATGCGACCCGTTCTAGTGAGTCTTTATTCAACATGATTCCATTTTCTTCTGTCGTTTGTGTTGCTGGAATTTTCTTTGTTCTTTTTCAATTTTCGGTCGTTTTTTTTTCTTTCTACGCAGTCGCTAAAATTGAACAAATTCTGCTGAGTCTTCTAGATTAATTTAATTCAACACATTCTCTCTATCTCTCCTCTCTTCTCTTCACTTTTCTCCCTCTCTCTCTCTCTATCTATCTATGTATTTGTCGAATTCATTTTGTTCATTATCTATCTATCTATCTATCTATCTATCTATCTATCTATCTATCTATTCTGTTCACATCTATCAATCTATCATTTCATTCTGTTCACATCTGTCTATATGTCTCTCTACCTGTATCTATCTATCTATCTATCTATCTATCTATCTATCTATCTATCTATCTATTCCATTCTGTTCACATCTATCCATTTCATTCTGTTACATCTATCTATCTATCTATCTATCTATCTATTCTATCTATCTATCTATTCTGTTCACATCTATCCATCTATCAATTTCATTCTGTTTATATCTATCTAGTTCATTCTGTTCACATCTGTCTATCTATATGTCTCTCTACATCTATCTATCTATCTATCTATCTATCTATCTATCTATCTATCTATCTATTCCATTCTGTTCACATCTATCCATTTCATTCTGTTTCTATCTATCTATCTATCTATCTATCTATCTATCTATCTATCTATCTATGTGTATAATGACCAGCCACCCATTTTGCCTTCATACCCATCTGATAGGCTGACTAACCAATCCCTCTTATGCTCACTTCTTCTTACAGTTTCTGAGAGATAGCGCATATTCAAATAGTTTAAACAATAAAACATTACGTTCAAACTCTCGGTCACGCATGAACAACTTCCAAATATAGATATCTACTCAATTTCAGTCTCAGGGTTTTGGTCAACCAGTTTTACAGTTTAAACACACACTCAAGCGCGTGCGCGCACAGACACACACACATATATTGAAACGTATCTTAGAAATTATTAAATATATCTAACTGGAATTTGAACAATATAAGAATGTATTTAATGCTAAGTTGAAATGATGATCCTTCTTACTGAAGGCCTGAATGATCTTTTCCCTCTCACCATTGCTCATTTGGGGGGGAAAGTGGGTCTGATACAAAACGATTTTAACCTGTTCTATTTCTAACTGAATAACTTTTTTTCGGTGATTCTTACGGCAAATGGTGTCAAGATGGCTAAACGTCTTAGTTGAACACCTGGAAAAATGAAACTCAATTAGTTTATTGGTTTTTAGATATTAAACATTTTGTGCGATGGACACTTATCCCATGCTGTTACACGATTTGGACAATTTTGCTGTTACACCAGGTGTATATCTATCTATCTATCTATCTATCTATCTATCTATATATATATATATATATATATATATATATATATGTATATATTAAAAGCACAACGAAAAAATTACCGTAATAGGTAACAACGCACAACTTTGTATAAATCCTTATATTAATGAACAACATATAGTTTTGTATTACTTGCACTCCTGAAGATGATCTTGGAAGAAGATCGAAAGTACTCGGGAAATGAAAATAAAACAAATTTAAACAGCTATTGCACATTTCTCTCATACTTTAACATCAATACACGAAAGGTTATTCGTGAGTATGAACGAATTTTATTAAAAATTAGCAGACATAATGTCTGTCATTTATTCAATCAGACATGTTTAAAAGAGAATTTGCTGCCTAAATACACACATTTTAAAATCTATCTATCTATCTATCTATCTATCTATCTATCTATGTGCGTGTGGGGGGTGCGCATGCGTGTGTAATCTTAAACAGAATAAATACGACTATAAGTTTAACGCTGAAAGCAATTTTCATACCATAACAGCTCATATTTGTATTACCACTGAAAGTTTTGCTTACTATAAATATCTGAATATCTGTTTTTTTTTAGAAATGTGCTCAAGGTTAATTTGAAATTATTAGGTCTGTGCTAGTCAATAATGCGTGTTCTTGACTTTTTTAGTGGGGTATTTTTGCTTTTGTTCAATTTTTGACTGCCACAGACGGTTAATATATTTTTAATTTGTTCCGTCTCTTTTATACTTAGAAATATTCGAATTCCAGTCTTGCTAATACACTTAGGAAAAGTTATGAATCCTCTTCTTCTCCTCCCCATCCAGCTATGGGTAAATAGCAGGACAGACCAGGTTCTAGAGCCTTGGGTGGCAAAAAATCTGCCTCGTTAGTCATGTATCGAAAGATACATGATCGCCTAAGCGTGTATCACGCATGGAACCTAATTGACCACACACAGGGTTCTATAGCCTTGGATGGCAACTGGTCTACCGCAGAAAGAAATGGCAACCTACTGCGGGGAAAAAATCTGCCTCCTTCAGTCATGTATCGAAAGATACATGATCGCCTAAGCGTGTATTACGCATGGAACATAATTGACCACAGACAGGGTTCTATAGCCTTGGATGGCAACTGGTCTACCGCAGAAAGAACTGGCAACCTTCTTCAGGAAAAATCTGCCTCGTCAGTCATGTATCGAAAGATACTTGATCGCCTACGTGTGTATCACGCGTGGCACATAACTGACTGAGTTTAAGAAAGGAGGCACGGTGGAGTAAGGAATAGCAGCAGAGGAATCGGAGAGCCGAGTTCGAATTCCAGTCGAATCCATTACATTCACTTACGTGGAGAAGATATGAATCCTCTCCTCCCCTAGCTATGGATAAATAGCAGGACAGACCAGGTTCTTTAGCCTTGGATGGCAACTAGTCTACCGCAGTATGAAATGGCAATCTACTGCGGGAAAAAAATCTGCCACGTCAGTCATATATCGAAAGATACATGATCGCCTAAACAGGAATCATGCATGGCACATAACTGACTTATATATTTTAAGCATAGAATATTTAAGCGAGACAGACGGAGTGTGTTCCGCGGTCGAGAAGCTATGATCAAATTGTAGTATCTGTTCCATGGCCTTGACTAGCTATGTCCTGTTAAGACTAGCTTTGCGTCCGATCCCGCGTAAGCGGGGGCCGGGTAAATTTGGACCAGTAGCCCTGGTGTTCGCGCTCGGGTTCACGACGTTAAATAACCGACCTTGGGTCTCAACCTAACCTTGTAGGGTCGGGGGTTCCTTGGTAAATAGCGAGACAGACTGGGACCAAGAGAGCGGTCCAGATAGCTTGTCTCTACCATTCGCCTCCCGCGCCTTTCCTCACGCAATAATATCTGTTCTTTTCTAGAATTCTTTTCATATTCGATTTTATAATTCAGGCTATTTGATTTATTACTTTTTGAATTTGCAATGACACTCCGATTAAAACCGCATAAATTGATGAAATAGCCAAAAGGATAAAAAAAAGAAAAAAATTCATAAAACCAACCTCATATTCCCATTTATTTTTTCCCTTCTGCAAATTTTATTCATGTCAGTTTCGATTTAAAAAAAAAAATGGTTTCCTTATTTACCACATAAATTATATATGCATATAAGCCTACACATGCACACACAAACATAAACACACACGTATATATAATATTGGGTTGGTGCATAAATATCAGGCGTTTTTAAAACATTATTATATTTATTATGACGTCACACATTATGAAATAAACAAAGTCCGACAATTATTTTAAGACATTTTTTTATGTTCATACGTTCTTTTTATAGATACAAATATTTAAGTAAATGCTCTGTTTATAATTTTTTTTTAACATACAACGTGTGTTAGCAGGTGTGATACCCTGTTTTCATCAGCCGCCGACCAGGGGTGATATCACGGTTTCGGTGGCGGGACCGCCACCCCTGGCGCCACCAGCAGCGTTTGCCACCAGGCCGGGTATGAAGATAAGCTAATTAATCGTTCCTTTAAGTAAAATCTATCTGCAATGAAAGATAAACAATATAAACAAAATATTAATACAAACAGTATTAATGACATTTACCGGCCTGAATGTCCGAGGAATTTTCATAGAAAATATGCGTCCTCCGACAGGATTCGAACCTGTATTCTATAAGGAACTATCATATAGCCTGACGTGCTTTTACCGATTGGGCCATGGAGGAGCGTTTCGGTTAGCAAGGTCGATTTTACTGTTTTTAAACTACAATTCTCCATGATTTTCGGTCGTACATTCATATCTGTTCATAAAAAATGTCTGAAAATATTTATTATGAAAAAAAAAAGAAACATAACAATTCAACAATAACATTTTTAAATGATTATTCCAGAGCGTATGATTATCGACAATCATTTTTATAATCTGAAAATAAAGTGTATTTTTTATTAAAAATGGAAACAAAACAGATTTTTATCGCCTCGCCTTTTAAACTGTTCATAATACAGAGAAAGGATGATTTCAATCGACGTAACAATACGGGTTTTTATAACCTTTAGGATTGGGTTGGTGCATAATTATCAAAAATAATTATGAAAAAAAAAGAAACAAAACAATTCAACAATAACATTTTTAAATGATTATTCCAGAGCGTATGATTATCGACAATCATTTTTATAACCTGAAAATAAAGTAATATTTTTATTAAAAAATGTAAACAAAACAGCAATTTTTATAGAACAAATAACTCGCCTAGAAAAACGCCTGATAATTATGCACCAACCCAATATTACGGAGAGAAAGGATGATTCGATCCAATCGACGTAGCAATACGGGTTTTTACTGTAAAGATCTTAACTTGTGGAACTGAAGAATGTATCCCATGCTGTTTGGGTTTTCATGAACTTGATTTAGGATTGGGTTGGTGCATAATTATCAGGCGTTTTTTAAACGATATTTATAATGAAAAAAAGAAACATAACAATTCAACAATAACGTTTTTAAATGATTATTCCGGAGCGTATGATTATCGACACTCATTTTTATAACCTGAAAATAAAATAATATTTTTATAAAAAATGTAAACAAAACAGGAATTTTTATTAACTCGCTTACAAAAATTATGCTATATCTATAAACGGTTAAATGCCTTAAAAAATAAATGAGTTTTATCTAATTACGCCATTAGTAAACTGAAAAATAAATCTTTTGAAATGTTCTTATACTTTGCCCTTATTGTGTTTATGGTATAAACGAATTTTCGGTTTGGTGGGTGTGACCTTTTTAAAGAACTAAAACAAATTAATGCCTTTTTCATTACATTTGAACAAAAGTTCAGCAATTTATGATATTGGTTACAAAAGTTATAAAAAATCAATATATATATATATATATATATATATATATATATATATAGTTGGATTGATGTTTTGGGACCCTGACGCTATTTGCGATCGTCAGACAAACGCTGACGATCGCAAATAGCGTGAAACCCAGGGTCACAAACTCACATCAATCCAACTAAATATGTTAGCTCTATCACTGATATTGAGCGTTTTCCAATAAGTACCGCGCATCAATAATATATGAATATATATGTAAAAAATATATATATATATATATATATATATATATATATATATATATATTGCATATATATATATATATATATATATATATATTGAGTTGGTGCATAATTATCAGGCGTTTTTTAAACAATATTTATTATGAAAAAAGAAACATAACAATTCAACAATAACATTTTTAAATGATTATTACGGAGAGTATGATTATCGAAAATCATTATTATAACCTGATAATAAAATAGTATTTTTTTTAAAATGTAAACAAAACAGCAATTTTATTAACAAATAACTTGTCTATAAAAACGCCTGATAATTATGCACCAACCCAATATCTATATCTATATCTATCTATCTATCTATATATATATATATATATATATATATATATATATATAATATATATATAAATATAGTCTTAAGGTGTGCTATATTTATGGAATAAAGTGCTCAGTATCAGAGATAGAGCGTGTGTAAATATAATGAGGCCTGACGATTGCATATAGCACGAAACAGACTGTCGCCTCTAAGTGTTGATTTCTATGTTCACTTTTATATATATATATATATATATATATATATATATATATATATATATATATATATATATATATATATGGGGAGTGGATGGATTCACCTATCGTGAACGGCGGATGAGGTTTTCGTAAATCCAACATTTCTATCGAACAACCAAAGCAAGTGAATTGTTTAAAGCGGTCAATTGTGCAACTTGCTCTGCATACTCTCTCCATATCAGCAGATAGAAGTGTCCGTCCTAACTGTCAGGTTACACTGCGTTACAACTGTCGATATTTAACAGGTCCCCACGCGGGATGTATATGGCACAAGGCCGAGTTTACCGTGGGTTCTCCAAGCCCGTAGGCTCGGCCAAAAATATCCCCATCCCGTACATATATCCGTCTAGCGAAACTCCGTAGAGTTCGACAGAGGTCGCAAACAGTCAGAAGACTGCGTTACGCCTGTCCGCTTAGGAAGTCTCGCATGTTAGTATTTATGAAGGAGGAAGTGTTCATTCTAAGGTAGATATGTCACCATAACAAATGTTCGAGCCATGGCGGGTGTTAGGCTGTAGTTCATCTGAGCACTCTCCATGAGCGGTGATAGCATGAAGAATTCACCTTCCTGACAAATCAGTTATGGTGAGATTTGAACCCGAGCCTCAAATTCAGAAAGCGAACGTTCTAACCTCTCGGCCAAGTGCCCAGAATTATACACCAATAGAAAAGCCTGCAGATATCGGGTCTCTAACTTTTAAATTTGAAACTTTCTGTTGCGTCTTTGCGCAAACAGAATCGAGCTCCTTTGATAAATTTAGAAAAATTTAGAAAATCTAACATCAATAAAAAGTGAAAATAATATATAAG